TGATTTCTGCTTTAAAATGCGAACAAAAGGTTCAGAGGGGATCGGGTGTTACGTTACGAATCCCCCTTGATTCTAGCTGCTAACCCTTTGTTCATGAAATCATCGGATATCATCAGAAAACGTGGGATTTGTGCAGTTTTGAATAAAACCAAGTTAGCGATTATGAACAATGGTTATTAACGTTACGTAACAGCCGATCCCCTCTGAACTCTGAACCGAACCATTGGAATTGTATGGAGATATTGTCAGTACTATTACGCACACGTTTACTATTGAGAATTACCATGAATGACGATGACGTCACCATGTGTTCGCCATAGCACAGGAAACGAATTAAATTCTGGAACAAATTCAAACTTGCGTAATTGTCAATATGTCGTACGAAATAATTCCGATACTTAGTGATTGAAGTCATTGGACCCACGATAGTAGGTCAGTTCAGTGCCTATCTAAAAAGCCGGTCCATTATCTGGACAGTGTCATACCGACTAGCAAGGTCATTGCCTCTTTTATTCAATAGATTTTGTACTATATCAGATTCGTTTGAGTTCAGTCGTGTTAAATCGAACAATACAAATAAATATGTACCTTTTTATTGTGACCTGTTAGTACGATTGTTGAAATCAAAAATATATTAACAAATCGAGATCGAAACATTTCGGTATGGACCCTGACCCTCAATCGATTCCACAACCTCAAACTGCACGTAGACCGCGTACGGTTGTGGTGGCACAGATCGACCGCGAGGATCTGTCACAACATTTTTTCGAATAACATGAAAAATATTTGACCAACGCCCAGAATTGTTGACAAACGGATTGCGTACACCTATAAATCAATGAATATGGCATAAAATAAGACAATCGAAAGAATATTTATCGACACACTTACTGTGAATCCTCAGCTCAGACTAAAACGTGCTTGCTGTAAAACGCGTACAGGAAAATGATCGAAGAGTTGTTCGCGTATCGAGGCCAGGTTACTGCGCATGTGCATATCCTTTTTGTTGCGTCAGTTTTGCCAAATAAGGAAAACGCCGGTAATAAGCGTCTCTGATTCGATGAAATTTTGTGTGGTAACAACAGTCGGTTCATAGTTTATGGGTATACTAGTAAAAGGTCATTGGCAAACAATGCAACGTGGTGGTGGTATGGTATTCTTTATGAGCGCCAACCAAACACGTACGTTCGGTACATACTATTACACGATTTACATATTTTATGACGTATCCTTTATTTGAACCATATGAGTTTGCCACAATGAGTAAATTAACAGGGAAGTTAAACATTATTTGATTGATTCTGTAGGAGAGGCCTGGTTTAGTGGCGAGAAAACGTAATTTGTGTGTGGTGGTCAACATTTCAAGCAAATTCTCAAAGATGGAGCTACGTCACGATCCCTCAAACGTTGCCAGGACAAATCACAGACAACGTGTGTTTTTTTTCGTATTGACACCCCCCCCCCACATACACATATACACACACGCTAACGAAACAATCTCTCGTCTTCTTCTGACTTCCTGATCCGGACGTTTTTTTTTGAGAATTTCACCCACTATGACCTACCTAATAAGTGAACTGCGAGTCTCTCAACAACTCACGTCTTCTTCAAGTTGTTGTATCTGTCGTCAACTTTTTTTTGTCTAAAATAAAAACAAATATGAAGAAATTAAAAAAATATCCCCGAAAATAGCAAAACAAGAGAAAAAATAGAATGGTCGCGAAAAGAACGTGTTCTTTTTTCGGAATATTTCTTGATTTTCGCAAATACTGCAATCTAGAAATCACGTGACCATCTTTGCAATGTCATAAATACTGTAAAATACTTTATTTTCGCTTGGAATTTATATTCGCCAAAGAAGTGTTTCAGTAAAAATAAAATCCAGCGAATTTACTTTTTTTCCTAGATTTTATATTCAACTCACCAAAAATCAGTGAAAATAAAAATTCCATACAAAATATCCAAAAAGTCTTTTCAGTGAAAATTAATTCCAGTGAAAATAAATTATTTCACAGTAGATACATATACTAGTATACACACTACATACTCTTAATTGTTATTGTCACATTTGTTGTTAAATTACATCTGTGAAATCTTGAGATGATAATGTGATCGTAAATAAAGCGAGTACATTTGTATTTTTCTACAGTACTATTACTCCCCCTTCGGTGGACATCATGATAGTTACTCAACAATTTTTCAAATGCAAATCTGAGCACAATTTGTTAACCTCAATATTGTTGGAATAAATGTTACGCCAATACTTGGATGCCACCCATCATGGATTTCACAAGTCGACCGACAATAGAAAAAGTTATAGATTAAAGCATGGAGGTAAAAGATTTTTTTTTTACCTCCATGATTAGAGATATAACGTGACTTTCTCGTCGTTGTCATGAAAATGGAGCTTTTGTTTTACCTTCATCACAGTCCCTCCGTCTATCGGAGATTGAAGGACTCTGCACGTTGAAGTTCACGTTGAAAGCTAGCTTTTCATACTCGCCACTGTCATATCTCACTAGTATTCTAGCCATCACATATTCTCCCAAATGAATTGCTGAAACTCGTTTATTGTACGCCCAGCAAAGTTTGTATCGTTAAGTCCCGAAAGTGCGCCCTCTATCGACAGTTGATAGATTTCACGTTTCATTTACAAAACTAAACTTTAAATTCTCACAACACAACTTTAATTTCTCATAACGCAACTTCGATTCGTCACGGTAAATGTTATTTATTCACAATACAACTAACTTCGCAAAACTCGGTTTTAATTTAACAAAAATCATAGTGGTTTAACCGAATCTTAAATCCCATTCAGGCGTAAAACAGAGCTGTAATTTTTCAGACAAAAAAACACAATACATATGGAATCCTCTTTAAACGAATATGTAATTTTATGCAATTACGATCGCTGCAACGTCGACAGTATGCCAATTCCCCCTTTTTTTAAATGTTTACCGATACACGCATGCTAATGGAAGAGCCGAGAGAGTTCCTAGTAACCGTTCTTCTTGTCATGTCGGAAATGGCATAGCGAAATGAATGTAACAGTAAATCTTCTAAATACTAGTATACATTGGATACAATGGGGGTTTAGTTCGAACCATGAAACTACGTGGTTTGTGGTTTCCATGTTCAGAGCTAAGCGTTCGTTGGCTTAGGGTTTAAACCGGTTCTTAAAATCATTAGCGCGTACTTAGAACAGGTCTCTTAGTCTGTGCTAAAAAAGAAAAAGAAAGAAGCTTCAAAATCCATCCCTGGCTTTATAAATCCACACGAAAAAAAAATCTAAATTTCGTTTGATTATGAATGGAAATGACACAAGTACTGAATAACTCAATTTATTACATAAATGTAACTTTTCCACAAGGTAGCAACATTAAATCAGTATATAGAGCACAGTCTCCCTATAATGCATAGAGAGAGTAAGTTACTAATTTTATTATATGTTCTTTTTTGTTTGTTACCCTTTTTTTTTTTTTTTTTTTAAACATGAAATAAAATGATGATCACTTAGGTAGGTGCGCCACCTATACATGAAATACTAGTACAACAGTTTAAAGCCCTTTAACTCGAAGAATAAATTCACCATATAAAACGCGATAAAGTGTTTAATTTTATCAGATTCGTTGAAATATAAACATACGTAAAATACTGGACGAACTGTGACATGAAAAAGTTATTAGAATTGTTTTTACTAACTGAGTTATTCTCTCTCTCAAATAAACATCCATAAAATATTCCAGTTAGGGGGTCAACACTGACATAATATTAGCAGCATTTCAGTCTGGGGTCAAGTCGCGGTTATTGGAGGATACTGGTCGTAAATTCACTGTTTTGTCTTGAACTACGACAGCGAAGATGCTGCGAGCAGCGGTAGTAGCAAGGCAAGACTTGCTTCGGCAGTTAAACAAGGTATTGTGTAATTGCAATGTATACGACGCAATGAATTGTCCATCATATATATCTGTTTGCTTGTCCTAGTATTTGGGTCATTGACCTGCGCGATGTGCACATTTTATTCTGATTTAGCTCAAAACAGCATCTCCGATAACAATATTTTTTATTGTTACCTGAGGCTGAGGTAAACTTAAAGTCTAGCACGATCACTTTCGACAGCAGACCCAACATGTCATTGACCTAGAAACCCCGGATTAGATATCAATGTCAGTAGATCGCAGACAGACAGACAATACTAATGTCACTTATGCTGTTGACATTGTTTCCTTAGTACAGAAGGCAGGCAAGTAAAAAATACAGCACAGATCTAGAAGCAGTACCTACACACGAATTGGTGACGTCATAAAATACATGACCT